TGCTTCTGCTGAGAGGTGATTTTACTAAAATGACACATTTCAAAGCCAGGCATCATCTTGCTTCAGTGGAATTTCATCCATCTCACAAAGGTGTGCTCTGATCTCCCCTCCCATCACCCGTATCGCACCTGTGTCACCCATATTACCTGGGGATGTAAGATTTTGATACCTTCTACAAAGCCCTAGTAGAGACATACATACCATTTTTCCACCCATGAAAGGGTCCCAAATCACTTTTATTTATATCCTTGAGCAGCTACTCACCACTCCAAGAGAGACAAACAAAGGGTCCTCGTTCCACAGAGCTCACAGTCCCTGTTTTCATGATTTTCCTAGGCTTTGGATGAGGGGCAGAGTCAGCATCAAAATAAGAAGTTAAAGAAACAAACACTAACAGGTTAAAACAACAACAACCCACAGGAACACAAACAGAACCTGACTCTGTTAGGTTTTTTTTTTTCTTTTGACTTGCAGGAGACTCATAATTTATAATGGATGGAGTTCTTTTGATCTTTGTACTATCCACTTACTTAAACTTTTCCATACAGTTGCTCAACCATGCAGGGCATAAGGTTAAAGGAAGAAGATTTCCATGGTCAGATGGAGCAACTTTTTTTCTGTGAGCCTTAATTCTTTCTACATGAATGTGATGACAGCGAGTATACAAAAATGCACCAGCTCATGCGTTTCCCTCTCCAATGTTTGATAGATGACATATGTGCATATATCCCAGCTGTTACTTAAATAAAGCTGCATGTATACAATATGTCAGAGACAACACAGGCCAAACTCTATGATACAACTACTTAGGATGCATAGGCTAAAATCCATATTTTGTCTCCAAAAATTCTTAAACAGATGAAACTGACTCAACCCAAAACATACAGCAGCCTCCTTCCAAACCACAGGAAGATCAAGGTTCAGCTGATGGTTCTGTGTTTTTAAAGGGCATCTGTTTCCCCAGTTCAGCCCCAGTATATTCTGACACCCTAATTGGGAAGTGAGATTTGAGTCTCTTTTATCCCTGGGGAAAATCTAACCCATGCACTATAACTGTGCTTACACATGCTGGAATCTGGACCTGACCTTTTGGTGGGACAAAGCAGAATTATGAACATTGAAACACCTGTAACCCAGACAGGCTAGGGCATGTCAAAATTGCTCTTGGAGAATGAGAGAAGGAGCAGCACAAAGTTTACCTGCTTAGAGCAGCTGGGTTTAGCAGCCAGCTGGGGAGCTTTGCAGCTTAGTGTGCATCCTTGCATTCTGCCTGATTAGAGATGGGACTGTTTTTCATTTCTTACCAGAAGTGAACAAATAAGACAGCAGTCTACACATAGCTCATGTACCTAACAGGACATATCCACCTAAAATTGTAAGTTGATTTCTTTGTGGCTAACACCTGGGGTTTTAGATGTCCCACTACCTCCTTGCATGATCTTAGGCAAGTAACTGTGTAATTTCCATCAACTCCCACCTCCTCCCTTACTTGAAAGAGCAAAATCCTACTCTGCCTTGCTATTGAGGCTTTCAGGGCACTGTCTCTTTCTTTATGTATACCAGGCTCCTGTGTTTACCTCTGGCCCCCAGTGACCATCACTGTGGTATCTACATTAAATCAAGATGCCCTCTTTTCCACAGATACCAGCAGCTCCACTTCATTAATCAATTAACCTGGGAGACCCAGGAATGCAGCAGCAAAGGCAGCATGAAGATTCTGGCCTTTTACAGATGAAAGACTTAATGAAGAATAACAACATTTTTGAACATACCGAGCCATGATAAATGGATGTAGGCAAGCACAGATCTTAACACTCTCAGTGCACAAAAAGGGCCTTGCTGTATTTTCTGATTCACAGACCTGACTAATCTATGACTCCACACTGACTTAGAGTACATGAAAATTCACACTCACCCATCTGCTGTGAGAACACGTGTGTTAAGGGTTACTTACACAGGTGAAAGATCTCATACCTGTCAGCAATGCCTGCAGACTGAGAAGGGAGGACTTTTTGTCAGTGATTTGCACAGAGTTTCTGGCACACATAACGTCCACAAGCAAGTCTTTGCTATTGAAGAAAAGAGCAGCAGCAGGTAAGGAGAGTGGGAACTGGAACAGATTTTGAGTTGTGTTGTGTCAAAACAGAGCTGACATAATCCAGTATTAAGCACTGTCAACCTGATAATGAGTCACCTGCAAGTAGAGCATCTCTGCTTCGCATCGTGCAGCCCTCTGCAAAACGGGACTGCTCAAAGTTGGGCACAATAAAAAACAACAGCAGAGTCCTTTGCCAGCAGTTTCAATCACAGCCCCAGTCAAACCCTCTCAGGGAGGAGTTTTCCACATTCATCATCTGGCTTATCAACGCTGTCTTGAGCGAAACCTAGATGCAGGCTTTGTGAATGCCAGAGCACATGAACAATGGTTGAAGCAGGGAGGGCGATGATAAGAAGAGAGTGCAAAGCACATGTTTCAAGTTCTACCTTTTTAAGCAAGTGTCAGGCTGGGGAAGCTGAGCTTGGGCTGAGTGCCAGCATTCCCTGCAATTTAATCCTAGCCCTTAGAGGAACAAGCTGTTATCCTTGCTCTATGCCAGTGTCTCCCCCTTATCTCACATTTGAAATTCTTTAACCACTTCAAAACAAAATATCTCCAAGGAACACTCCAGAAAATGTGTTTTCTTTTGTCTCCTGAAAACACTGATGAGGAGAAAAGTTCTTTTGTGTTTTGTGTAAGGAGCCTTTCAGCGTCTGGGCTCTAAGTGCTCTCTCCTGTTCATTCACTTTCCCTGAAGACTCACTCGGTGTAAGAGGAATAGTCCTTTCCACATGGAAGGCTGAAAACCTGAGACATTGAAGAGTAGGAAGCTTAGGCAATGAGCAGAGCAGCAGGCATACAACAAAACATTAAAGCAACACCAAGGGGTTAAAGAAGGCTCACAAATGCACTGAAGTGAAGCAGAGACACACCTTGACACCCCTTCCTTCAGTCTTGCAACCAGCAGCTTGGGTGCTGAGATGTCTGCTTGTTTTGCAGGGTGATATTGTCTCCTTTCCAGCGGTAATGATGGCATTCCTTCCATCTGTCTCATAGTGCAAAGAGATACTGCTGAGCTAAAACACTGGGGAGCGATGAAGGAGGTTTGTGTGCAGAAGCACTCAGAATACCTGAAGGAGAATGGAGCAATGAGGGACTTGGAGAGCTGTAAAGGCTCAGGGAGTTAAGGGTGGACTACAAAAGTGGGATTTGGACTGAAGCCAGCTCCAGGGGCTCAGGACTGCCCCCTTGTATATCTAGGCTTTCTTCTTGCACAGACAGTGATGGATTCAGCCCCACAACAATCAGTGGGAGCCTTTCCTTGGCCTTAAGAGTGGGGATGTAACATCCAAACAACTCTGTACTCAGCCTACCACAAGTATAGCCCTTCAAAGGATAATATGAGCAAAAAGAGAGAGGCTTAACCCATTACTGCAACTTGTTACATGCCATACAGACATACAGATGATGTAAGGCACAAAACTGGTAAAGCAAATATTACCAGTTATAGCAGATAGCTGTAACACAACCTTGCCAACCCTCTTTGGACCAGGAAGAGTCTGAGACAATATGACTTTGCTTCACCTTCCTATGCTCTAAGACAGCCGTGTCTAAACTGCCAGATCTTTGCTCTAACCAAGGGGCTGTAGGCACAGAAAAGCATGGGTCCATAGCCCTCCTCAGAGGCCTGGGCCTCTGTGGTTTGGCTACCTCCAGGACTCTAATGAGTGCTCTCACCAGCCCAGTTGTGTGCATGTTCTCTTTGTGTCCTACTTTACCACACTGGGGACAACAAGGAAGACCAGCAGTGAATTCTTACCTGCACAGTTCTCAACACTATCTTTTCTTAATTATACTATCTTTTAAGAGGTTTGAAAATAGCAGCTTGCCTGAACACTGGGCCTTGCAACCATATGTTTCCCTGTGACTTCAGTCAACGTCTATGGACTAAGCGTCCTAATTTCTCTCTCTTTACCTGAGTTTTTTTCTACATGTGGTAATAATTTGGGTTCCTACCCAGCGATGCCACAAGAGAATCTTAAAGATTCCCCAATCTTTAAGATAAGCATAAATGTTGTGTTTGAAGCAGCTGGTATGGCTCAAATCAAAAAGATATATTTGTTGCAGAAACCATTAGCCAATGGTGTCCAGCTTGAGTTTCTTCGTGCAGTTTGGAACAGGTTTGTCAAATCATCCTCTTTGAGACTCACACGCAGTGCTTTATGGAATGCTTCCTTTAGTTCATATGATTATAAAATGGTATCTGATACTGGTTCAGAGAATAGTGAGAACAATCTGATATCCAAGACTGTATTTTTGAACCACTAGATCTTTACCAAAAACCCCCTCAAACATCTAATCAAAAGTCAGTGCAATGTGATGTTTCTCTGTGTGTAATTGTCTCTACGGTAAGATAGAGAACCTAAACATCCTGGCACTTTGAAGGATGTAGATGAGTTTTACATTTCTCCCTTAGCTGAGGAGTTGTGTCCAAAGTTGCATGCTGTGGCAAAATTTTATGTCTCATTTATAAAAGCCCTGCAAGACTGTGTTTATGATTCAAGCGCTGACAAAGTCACAGCTCAGCATACAGGGTCTCTATTGGGAAAATATACACAAGCTGCTAAAGTTGAACAGCACCTTTTGAGAACAATTTGGTTTTGTACTTCTCCCCTCCCCATGATTTTGAAGTCATGGATTCACACCCTGTGGGCAGCCCCTATTGTGCTCTGGCAAAGTAGTGCTTATCTCTCCAAAGGAGACATCATGGTGACTGTTTACGAACAAGCCACACAAAACTTGGCTAAATCTTAATGGGCCTATTTATGCAGTATCAAGGGTGAAGTAGACTTGGACCCCACAGCACGTTCAAATTACATGGCTTTAAGTGAATTTAGAGCTTGTCAAAGGAGCCGGTTTGACAGCCCAGGAGACTGAAATCCTCTGTTTACCTCCCAAACAGATATTACATGGACCACTCACAAGATCCCCTCTGTGTTAATCCGCAAAGTATAGGAGTTGTTACAGCTCTCAGCTACGCAGCCTGGCTCTGAACCTCAGCCTGCAACAACCTGGGCTTTTAGCTCTGGAGGCACCTACTTCAATCCCAGTGTGTCAGCCAAGACAGAGGCCATAACAAACTTCCCTAACATGTTCTAGTCCTACCCCAGAGAGCTCCTTCTGAGGGCTGAACAACATTACTCTGTACTGGTAAGTCAGAAACCACTATAGCATTAGCACAGAGAGGAAGCCTGGGGATAAGATTGCAATGGGCAGAAAGAAAAAGGGAATAAAAAGAAGAAAAATGAAAATGAAGTAGTAGGAAAGGTTGCTCTGCCTCACACTTTCCAAAGCAAGGTTATTCAGGAGAGCTTTCCATTATTAGATGTGGGAGATGTCTGCAGCTTCACTTTTATTCTTAGCAAAAAAAACCCCAAACTTTCAATATCCCTTCAGTAATGGAATAGTCCCCCCTCTTCTTTCGATGAAAATCACTTGGTTCTTATGGAAAGGGACTAACTAGCTCTGTGCTGGCTAGGAAACATAGAAAATTACCAGCCATCTCTTCTGTTCAGAGGTAGAGGGTTATTTTTGGTAATTCAGACGAGAACCAGTACAGCTGATAGAACAAAATACTTGTTTCAGGGAAAAAAAGTGTTGGATATAGGGCAGAGGGGTATGCAAGGATACAGGGAGACAGACAAGCATATAGGGATATAGGCTGAGGGGCATGCAGGGAGCTTACAGCCTCTTTGGGCTAGTAGGTATCCAGCTAGCCACAAACAGACAATGCCCAGACGGCAGCCCTACATTTTACCATGTTATTCCTGATGTTGAGGTCCAGTTGAGTTGTTGTTAAATCAATGGAAGGATGCCTGCAGATTTCAATAGGATTTGGGTTGGATAAGTAAAGGAACCTGCTGCATCATTTGGTTTCCAAGCTGCCATTGCTTGTGCAAGTCCAGGTGTAGCTCTTTATTGCCTAATGAGAGGTGGGGTGAGACCTTCATAAGGTTTGTGTTCAAGTCCCTTATGTTGAATGGTTGGTGTTGCACTCCATAATGAGTTGTGGCCAGAAGCCCTCTCAAGCTGAGGGAACCTTTCTTTGGTTTGGTACTTATTTCAGCAAATGAAATATTCCTCTAGCTTTTTAAAAAATCCAAACTCACCTTCGGTCAGAAATGAAACATGGAAAATTTCAGCAAAGGTGGTTGAATGTTTTTGGAAGTGCAAAGTGGATTAAGGAACAAAGATGTACGGAGATGGTTGATAAAGCAGAGTGTGCAAATGCAGGTGGGAGAAACATGCATTGCCGCCATGGATTTGATGGAGCAGATTCATAGTGATAAAAGCAGAAGGCCCTTCAGCGTTAGCATAAAGGCAATGACTATTTTGTACAGGTCTGAGAAAGGAGGTCATTCAGTAGTTCCAGTTTCTGAAAGCTGGAAGGAGATAGCTGCTGTCCACTCTGAGCATCAGCCAGTTTCTGTTTGCTCACTGTAGTGGTGATTTCACGGCAGTTGGTGAAGCTTCACCGGCATAAGGAGAAGCAAACATAACGTGCTGTGACAGAGCTGTGCGCTGAACCAAGCCCTATTTACTCCTATGGCAAGAATAAACATGAAGACTGAAGTATTTTCACTTCCTGTTCTCCACCCCACTTTAGTTTCTTCGTTGGGACATTTATTGTTTTTCCTGTATTTGAACTGCAAATAGAAAGAGGTAAAAATATGCTCACAGGAAAGTAAAGTGAAGCAAAGAAAAAGTGTCTCTTACATTTCTCCTTGCACAAGTCTGATTCTGATCTCAGAGTAAATTTGGAGAAATTCTCCTCAAGTGAATGGATTCATTCTGGGAAGTCAGAATTGAGTCCAGTCTTGTATGTTTTATTTTGGTGGGAAGCAGAAGCAGAGCTTTAGAGCATTACACCCATTTCTTTAATGAAAACCCTCTTTCTTACATGGTAATCATGGGCACTTCTCTGTTTTAATTGCTTTTAAAATGTAGAGTATCGGTGACCTGCAGCAGTAATTTTATATCCTAGCTCCATTTGGCCTTGATTGCAGCAGTAGCAGGTAAGAAGGGAGGGATGAATAGTTCTTCACTGTTTGGTAAAATAATTACTGCTCTGGCTCAACACATCAATTAATCCTTTCAGTGCTGCTGGAAAACCCTTGTGCCTGTGAGTCCTCCCCACATATGCAGTGGAAGGGTCCTTCCTATTCACCCTCAGGTGATCTTGTTTAGAGTCTGCCATCCACGCTGAGATAGTGAGTAAAGACATGAAGAGAAAAAGTAATTTGATAGGTGTGGAAAACAGAGAAAAAGACGTGTTTGGAGGCATGTCCTGAAAGGGGAGAACAGCGTGCTGCTTCACTTCGCTGTGGCTGAGAAAAGAGCAGGTAAAAGGACTCTTCATCAGGGATTGTAGCACTAGGACAAGGGGTAATTTGTTCATACTTAAGCAGGGGAAGTTCAGATTGGATACAAGGCAGAAGTTCTTTATTGTGAGGGTGGTGAGGCACTGGCACAGGTCGCCCAAAGAAGTGGTAAATGCCCCATCCCTGGCAGTGTTCAAGGCCGGGCTGGACAGAGCCTTGGGTGACATGGTTTATTGTGAGGTGTCCCTGCCTATGGAAGGAGGGCTGGAACTGGATAATCCTAAGGTCCTTTCCAACCCAAACCAGTCTGTGATTCTGTGATATCAAAGACCATCAAGTTTCCACCCTGGGCTCAGGCTTGGATCTCACACGGTTGCCATTGGGCTTGACATTCCCACAAAACTGCTTCCATTCCCTCACCCTGGGGCTCCTCAGTGGTGGGATGGGGGGTGAAGGGCCCACAAGGTGAGGAGACTCACAGTCCAGTGACTTGTATGGAAGAAATACAAAAGGAAAACCCCTAAATCCTCAGTCCCAGCCAGCTGATGGTAACATACATAGGGCTTGACACATGCAAGGGGCACCACTCAAAGGTGTTAGTCCCTAACAAATGGACTTTTATCATATGAACCTACTGCTTTCCTTGGCACTAATTTTTAACCCATTAATTTTTATGCTTAGCTCGCTGCTCTTCAGTTCTGAGGGTTAGTTATAGTACGTATATGAACTTATCCAGTGATAACTAGTAATAATTAGCTCAATTAAAGATAATTAACAATGACAATGCATAGGAACTAAAACATTGCGGTGGAATAAACAGCAGTGGTGCAACACCAAGCCCCAACATCTGCCTGAAGTGAGGGGAAAGTGTTGGAAATAATTTAGGGATTTTATTATGTCTGTTTGTGACCTTTTTGGAGAATACTTGCTCTGGAGAAGTTGGAACATATGAAAGTGCACAGAGAAAAGTGACATTTAAGTCATTCGGTTTTTGAAAACGGTCTGAAATTAATTTGAGAAGAAATTAGGGAAAAAAAAAGCTTGTAAAATGTGGGACTTTTGATCAGAAACAGAAACTTCAGCACAATCTGGCATCAGCCTCTTCCCTCCATGGCAATCTTGAAGTCATGTAACGGAGTTGCTTGGTCTGTTTATGCTCCATCTATAGTTTATGGAAACAGCAGTTTGTCCAGAGCACAGCCCAACCCTTCTCAGATGGGAGAGGTGACTCCAGCGGACAGTGTCCATGTGAGCACTTCCTTTTCGTGTCTGATAGTGAAGAATACTGTACCAGGAAGATAAAAGTTTTGCCACAAAAAGATGTGGCTCTGACACTAACTCTTGCTGGGGTACAGCAAGACCAGCTTGGCTGTAGACTCCCTGTGTGACTTGGGTGGCGAGGGTCTGAACCTATTAACCTCCTTTGTCTGTGGGTATGGTGGAGGAATCGAGTACCCCACTTCACAGAGATGCTGCAAGGGTCAGTTCTTTGCACTAGAGGTGCAGACAACAGCCATGAGCATGGGGCACCCTATAGACTGTGTATAACACCTTGACTAATGATTTGTAGCAAACAGACCATGGGCCACCCTTAGATGTATGCTCCTGAAACATTTGCTAGGTGATTTTAAAGAGAGAATGAAGTCAAAACAGCAGAGCATTCACAGCTGACTTTGTTTTCTGTTTTTTCTTAACATTGGAGGACCATCTTCTCCCACTAAATTTTCCAAGCCAATTACTTGCTGCAAACTCTTCCCTCGACTAATCCCGATACAAGGTAACTTTCATATTGCATTCGCAAGAGCGTCAGCCTTGTTCGGAGCCTGTCAGCACAAGGGATTTCTGTTTGTGAACAAAAGTCTTTACACATTCTGGCTCCGAACATGTGCGCTGTCCTGTCAAAGCCAAAAAGACTCTCTCCCCGTGCCAGTTTGTGTTTCCAAAGTTGCTCTGTGTCCTCTCGTCATCAGCCAAGCTGTGCTGAGCTACTGAACTACGTTTTTGGAATTACAAGGAGAGCTCGTCTAGAGGGGGAATGAGGACAAACTCCACAAGCTCTGGGCCAAATCCGTCCCAGGCAGTACGTGCCCATGTCCACAAGGAAGGTGCTGCTGTGTGCAGACGCAAAAGGATCTCTGTTACGTTGGGTTTAAGGCGCCGATGTGCTTCTCTGCTTCTGTCACACAGTTCTGGGTTTATTCTGGTGGAAATGAGAGCAGGAATTAGCTCAGCTCCTGCCCAGAAACCTTCCTTAACCCTCCGTGGGTGCTTCTGCCTGGGAATTCACAACAGGAGCCCGGCACTCTGGCACGTAATTTCTCAGGGGCACAGAGACGTGAAGTCGCCTGTGGGCAGGGACACAAGGGAGGTCCCACATGTTTGATGCATCGATGAGGTGAGAGCATCCACCACCTTCTGGATAAGGCTCACTGAGGCAGAGGAGCAGCAGACCTCACGCTGACACTGCCCACACAGTGCCCATTTTGGAGATAGGTTTGGTGATTTGCACGAGTGTTGAACTGATTAATGATTTTGTATTTCACATAAGATACATGTGTTGGTATAGAACACCCTGCTCGTAGGATGAGCACTGTATATCGTTATATTTTATGAAGGGATTACAGCAGTTTCCCAGCAGCAATGAATCTAAATTCTGCTATTCCTGCATGACCACTGCAGAAATCTCTCTCCTGATTATTGTTATAAGGGATATAGATGCCAGTTGTGTTTCATAAACCAGTGTTCTTAAAAATTCTGCCATCTAGGAGAGCTGAGCAAAATGGGAAGCTTTTAAGGTATGATACAGATGAGATTTAACTAGGAAAATAC